CTCTATAGGAGCATGCGGAAGAGAGGCTGAAATCATCATCATCAGTTTCAAAGTATAAAAGAGAGAGAAAGCCATCCCCAGTATATTAATCTCTTCTAAACCTTCCTCCAAGACCGTCTTTGATTGAATATTGCATTCCATCCAGCCCCCTCCATTAAAACTCCACTCTGTGTGCTTTTGTCTCTATGTGGTTGTGTGTGTGCAGGGGACAAAGAGGAAGCCAGCTGAAACCCTGATTCCCCCAAATTGCTTTTATCTGCCTCAATGGGGAGGTCTCATGTAAATTCCACCAGGAAGTTGAGAATAGTTTTGGATGAAAAGCCCTGAATATAAACTCTTCACTTGCTTCCCAGCCCACAACATCCACACTGCCTGTCTTTTCAATCTGTAACTTAATCCAGAAATGATTATACCAATGGAAAAACCTACAGAAGGAATACACGATGGAAGCAGACTTATGTGGATCAGTACAATGCTGTACAAAATGACTTTGCTGCAACATTTTCTCCTACCACCTAAAATAAATATCCTTTTTTGTTATTTGTGTTTTGTCTGCTCATACCTATGAGTTACGTTTAAGGCTGCTTGCGATAGACCTCAAGTAGAAATGTGGACTTTTAACAAAATTGTGAATTTGCCATTCTGCCTTTCTTCATCATCCCATCATCCCTTGGAATGGCATGAAACCTCCTCTGCAGCACATACAACCTGGGAAACCCGGGTTCAAATCCCTACTTGTCCATGAAGCTCACTAGATGACCATGGGTCAGTCACGGCCTCTCAGCCTAAGCTACCTTATTGGTGTGTTGTGAAGAATATATGAGGAGGGGGATATCGGAGTGTTGTGAGGATATGAGGAGAGGGATATAATGTATAGCACCTTGAATTCTTCGAAGGAAAATCTGGGATAAAATACAATGAATAAATAGAATAAATTCCATGGGAATGGTGTTTATGTGCATGCATGCATGTCCACACACTTACCTCTCCATTGTGGGGAAGAGAAGAATCACATTTGGAAAACATGGTTAGACAGGTATGTTCGGCACTGGTGTGTTCTGTGGTATGTTAACAGGTGAATTAACTGAAAGAATAATAACTTAAAAATCAAGATCTAATACTTGAAATGTGTTTTTGATGCAACTACATGTTCGGTGCTGCTTTGCTCTTCCCAATGTCACTAAAAGCTACGACCACAAATCTATGCCAAATGCCATTTTGCAAATTAATCTTCCAGTCAGAAACCAAGATCCATATTCCACCTCTTCCTGCTGCCCACAAGGGGGCAGCCATGGTGTGAAGAACAGAAAATTCCATCTGCAATAACTGGAATGGCATTGGGTTCCCCACCCCTGTCCAAAGGCAAATGCTGGTGAGGAGGACTCCTTCTTAATTCACCCAGACAACCTCCACACTCCTGCTACATCCTGAGCCACAACCCTTGTGGGCTTATGACTTCTTGTCAGTCAACCCCTCACCAAGCAAAAAGGAGAGGGGTGGGTGGAATTGACACAACTTTGTCTCTTTCCATTGACTATGAAATAATAAGTAAGTAAGTAAGTAAGTAAGTAAGTAAGTAAATAAATGCCAGCCCCGTTAAATTTCCACCACAACCAGGAGTTTTAAAGTATATATATAAAAATCCATCCCCAGTACATTAATCTCTTCCAAACCTTCCTCCAGCACCAACGTGTTTGATTGAAATTTGCATTCCATCTATGCCCCCTCCATTAGAACTCCACTCTGTGTGCATTTGCCTGTGTGTGTGTGTGTTTGTGTGTGTGCAGGGGAGAAAGAGGAAACCAGCAGCAAACACTGATTCCCCAAATGGCTTTTATCTGCCTCATGTGCCTCACTGGGTAGGTCTCATGTAAATGTGACCAGGAAATTGGGAGTAGTTTTGGATGAAAAACCCTGAATATAAAATCTTCACTTGCTTCCCAGCCCAGAGTCCCCTCTTTCCTGTATCTCTAGCACATTCATTCATCAACATTATGGAGCTCTTGTTGCTCTTGTTTCCCTTGGTGGCTTTTTCTAAAGGTAAGGGAAGTTCTGCAATGTTAATTTACTTCATGGGGCCATTAGATGGCGAACAACCATTCATTGCCATATTTTCTCTTCCCAAGGGGTCTCCTCAGACATTCAGCTTGTATCATCTGGACCAGGAATAGTGAGACCAGGAGAGAATCTCAACCTGCTTTGTAAAGTCAAAGGTTTCTCCATCTCTACCCAATACTATGCGTGGCATTGGATCCGTCAAGCTCCTGGCAAAGGTCTGGAATGGATTGCATGGATATACCCCTATAATGGAGAAACAAGATATGCCCCTTCTCTGAAGAGCCGAGCAAGCATTTCTTCAGATGCCTCAAAGAATGAGTTCTCCCTCCAGCTGAACTCCCTGACAGCTGCAGACTCCGCTGTGTATTTCTGTGCCCGAGAAGACACAGTGAGACAAAGCCTATTGGGCCCTGTTCAAAAAGTAGAAGTCCTGCTTCTATAAACAAATAGACTGTGAAAGTTTTGACAGAGCAATTCTACATTCCACAGATGATGCGGAAAAACATCTGAACTGCCTGCCTCTTCAATCTGTAACTTAATCCAGAAATGATTATACTGATGGAAACCTACAGAAATAACACACAATAGAAATAGAAAAATGTGGATCAGTACAACACTGTGCAAAATGACTTTGCTGCAAAATCGATATCCAGTTTTGTAAATACATGATTATCTGTGTTTTGTCTGGTCACACCTCTGAGTTATGGTTCCAGGCGATTCTCACTGGGGAGAGCATTCCACAAACAGGGAGCCATTGCAGAAAAGGCTCCTTCTCATTTTCTCACCCTCCAGACGTCATGTGGAGGAGTTACATGAAAAAAAGGGCCTCAAATGATGATTTCAGTGTCTGGATCAGTTCTATCAACCTTTAATTTACACCAAGGACCATCAAACATTCTGCAATGGGCACTCCACACAAGCACCACAACCAGCCACACACCACAGCTTGTTCTATTGGTTACACTAAAGAGCTTCTTTGAAATTTCTATTGGGGAGAGAGGATACTGTGAGAAGTGTGCTCGCCCTCTCTGCTGTGTACCTCATTGTGGGCAGGCACTTCCCTGTGTGCCAGGATCTGACTTGGGATTCCCAGACATCACAGGAAGGCTCTACCAAACTTGTTGCTTAACTACCGTATATACTTGAGTATAAGTCGGCTTTTTCAGCATATTTTTTATGCTGAAAAAGCCCCCTCGGCTTATACTCGATTGAGGGTCCCTGTCGGCAGCTGTCAGCGGTGGTGGAGGAGGAACTACCAGCCTGATAGCAGCCATTTCGGGCTGTTTCTTCTTCCACCGCCACTGCTGCCACCAGCCTCTGACCTCTCGGCAGCACCCTAGGTAGGCAGGGGGACAGGAGGGGCTGGAAGGAAGAGGTTTGTGGTGTGGTGAAACAGCTTATACTCGAGTCAATAAGTTTTCCCAGTTTTTTGTGGTAAAATTAGGTTCCTAGGCTTATATTCGGGTCGACTTATACTCGAGTATATATGGGTAATTTGCCCTGTCCACTTGCCTTATCAAGTGAATCGGGAGCAAGCATGGGCAACCAAGTTAAAGGACGTTCCTCCAGTATATAATACAGACCCATGGCTTGTTCTGCAGCCACCTTTCATTGGATCCCCACCCACCCACTTTACATATTGCTATTGCATGTTGTTCTGCTCCACTTTGCTATGGCAGAGACGATCACCGTGTTGGGGGCCAGGTTGAAATTTTCCAACTCAGCCCTCTGCTTTTTGCCATCCTCACTGTAATTGTCACAACTTTGACAGTTTAGGCATTCGGTAGGTATAGTCTTGCTCTGAGGGGCGGTTGTAGCCCCTGCCTTCGAAACGGAGTATCCTGCTAAAGGGATAATGGGGAGATGCTTCTGTCCGGATGCCCAGACAGGGGTGAGGTGCCACAACACTCCCCAGGTGCAATCCAGTGGGGGAGATACCCCTTGATGTAGGTCAGGGACTCCCTCATTTCTTCTTGTCCCCAAAATACAAGTTCTTTTTGAAAGGAAGGGTGGTATACAAAATACCTATGCCAAACTTTTGTTGTCAATAAAGTTGTGGCCTGATTTCACCCAAGTATTGGTTGTTGTGTTATTCTTGGTATTGGGGAGGGCCAAAGGGAGGATGCCTTGACATGCAAACAGGGAATGTTTCTGAACGTGCAAATGCATCCATATAACACCCCCCCCCCAATGTAAACAAAGCTTTTGTATTTCTCATTCACATCTTACACATCCCCATGCTTTGAGAAGAGCAAGAACAAGGAGCTATGTCATGTGCTCTTCTATTCTACATTAAGACAGGATTCTTATACATATGCTATTCATGTATCTTTTTATTTAAAGCCTTTAAGAGAGAGCATTCCACAGACATTTCATTTATTTGTGGAGCTGTGATCTATAGTGTTAATCCAGATTTTCCTCCGCTTCATTTGACCATATCATTGAAGCCCAATTCCTCCCCACAGTTATGTTAAGAAATTGTTCCCCACCTTTGATGGTACATGCACTGGGCATGCTGAAAGTGATGGAGTTTATGAAAACTTGTGTTGCTCTCTTTTCCTGAGAGTTCTACATCAAACCATCACTGTAAAGACCTGTACAAACTGTGCAGCAGCAAAGAAGGAGATTTCTGACAAAGTGCAGATATGACTCTATTCCCTTACTGCCCAGAGTCTCTGTTGGTGCTTTTATACTGATGGATATGTAAATCTATAGAGAGAGCATCTTTTTTAAAGCAGTCAGAGAACCTCCCTTCCCTTGCATATGTGTGACCACTTCTTGCTTAACTCAAAGAATCAGACCAGGAAAATGATAGTTTTCCTTCAACTTGTTTTCTTTTCAGCAGCTTGGGGAGGTAAATTCATTTTTCCAGTTGAAGAAAGCAGATACATTCTGGGTGTTTATAACATGGATCTGGTCTCTCAATATGCCCTTCTTTCTAGGTGTCCAATCGGAGGTCCAGCTGGTTGAGTCTGGGGGAGATGCGAAAACGCCTGGGGAGTCCCTCCGCCTCTCCTGCCGAGCCTCTGGATTCAACTTTGGGGGCTATGTCATGCACTGGGTGAGATAGAGTCTCTCTCCTTCTGCAAGTGAATTTATACAATCAAAAGAAATGCATATGGTGGGACTGAAAGGTATAGAGCATGTTTAATAGACAGAGGTTACAGTGAGAAGGTTGGTAAAACAAGGTTTAATGGCATTGCATTGTGACAAACGTATGATCATTGATGATTTGTTTTAAAAACGCTTTGAGTATTGAGAAACATTTTTTTTTGTAAGGCAATTGCAAATGAATGAAAATAAAAAAAATCAGGGTGATCAAATGGTCTAAAGGAGAATTTGGCTTCACTGGAAGGAAAAGCCATTAATCTCTACCAAATGTCATTTTGCACATTAAGCATCTAGTCATAAAAGCAGACCTCTTCCCCCTCTTGTTTCTCACAAGGGGGCAGTCATGGTGCAAAGATGAGAACCCGCCCCATCTGCCAGGACTGAAATAAAATGCTGCTCGAACTAAAGTTGGTGGTTTCATCTGTGAAGCAATTACTTTCTCAGATGTTTCCTGGTCAACCAACTTTCTATAACCCCCTGAGACTTTGAGTCCCAGAGAAACTTTCAAGCAATTATCTCTGTGCTCTCAGCCCATTGGCAACAGTTGGTGGGGAAGGAATCCATGGCACAATCTTCTTTTCTACAAATATGGATAGCCTATAGATTGAGGGCATGTGTAAACAAAATATTTGTAGTACAGCAGAGCTTCCAACTGTCCTACTTTGAGCAGAACGTCCCAGATCTACAGAAGCTGCCCTGGCTTCTGTTTAAATGTCCCACTTCCTCAGCCACCACCACAGTCAGGCCAAAGACTCCCCCACAGCTGCTGTGACAAGTCACAACTGCTGACGTTCTTAACGTTTTAACTACCGTATTTTTCGCTCTATAACACGCACCCGGCCATAACACGCACATAGTTTTTAGAGGAGGAAAACCCGTAGGCATGCCACCCGTAGGCATTCCCTCCATAACACGCACAGACATTTCCCCTTACTTTCTAGGGGGGGAAAAGTGAGTGTCAATATGCAAAAAATACGGTACTTATTTGTGCTTTTACATTGTATTTAAATTTTGTGAAATGTTTCAAGAATTTATGATGAAGATTGATATATAACTATAATAAATTAATAGTAATATTAATCATCATCATCATTATCTCCAATCATCACCATCATCATCTCTCAAACTTCACAACGGCTACACTGGATGAAAGGCGTTGGGCTCCCAAACCATTTGGATGAGTTTCCCCACCCCTGCCCAAAGGCAAATGCTGGTGAGGACGACTCCTTCTTAATTCTCCCAGACAACCTCTATGCTCCTGCTATATCCTGAACCACAACCTTTGTGTGCTTACGACTTCTTGTCAGTCAAATGATGACTTGGAGACAAAGTTGAGCCAATTCCTTCCACCCCTCTCCCTTTTGAATTGGCTCAACTTTGTCTCTTTCCATTGTCTATGAAGGGTGCCCTGGGGTGTGAATATAAAGATGGAACACATATCTTACATTTTCTTTTATTTACTTAAAATTCATCTTCTCCAGGTTGCCACAGCAGAGCTCCATCCCAGCCCAACTTTTTCACAAGCTGCATTTGAAATTATAGTTGTGTCACACCAGAGGCATCTCTATAGGTGTGTGTGGAAGGGAGGATGAAAATCATCATCATCATCATCATCATCAAGCCAGTCTATTGACTGATCCACCACAACGAACAGTTTTAAAGCATAAAAGAAAGAAAAAATCATCCCCAGTATATTTATTTCTTCCAAACCTTCCTCCAACACAAATGTCTTCGATTGAATTTTACATTCCGTTTATGCCCCCAGCATTAGAACTCCACTCTGTGTGCATTTGTCTGTGTGTGTGTGTGCATGGGACAAAGAGGAAAGCAGCAGCAAACCCTGATCCCCCAAATGGCTTTTATTTGCCTCATGTGCCTCACTGGGGAGGTCTCATGTAAATACCACCAGGAAGTTGGGAGTGGTTTCGGATGAAAAGCCCTGAATAAAAAATCTTCACTTGCTTCCCAGCCCACAGTCCCCTTCTTTCCTGTATCTCTAGCACATTCATTCATCAACATTATGGAGTTCTTGTTGCTCTTGTTTTCTTTGGTGGCTTTTTCTAAAGGTACGGGAAGTTTTACAGTATTAATTTACTTCATGTGGTGATTGGATGATGTCCAATCATTCATTGCCCTCTTTTGTCTTTCCAAGGGGTCTCCTCAGACATTCAGCTTGTATCATCTGGACCAGGAATAGTGAGACCAGGAGAGAATCTCAACCTGCTTTGTAAAGTCACAGGTTTCTCCATCTCTACTCAGTACTATAAATGGAATTGGATCCGTCAAGCTCCTGGGAAAGGTCTGGAATGGATTGCAAGGTACTACCTCTATGATGGAAGTAAAGCATTTGCCCCTTCTCTGAAGAGCCGAGCAACCATTTCTTCAGATGCCTCAAAGAATGAGTTCTTCCTCCAGCTGAACTCCCTGACAGCTGCAGACTCCGCTGTGTATTTCTGTGCCCGAAGAGACACAGTGAGACAAAGCCTATTGGGCCCTGTTCAAAAAGTAGAAGTCCTGCTTCTATCAACAAATACACTGTGAAAGTTTTGACAGAGCAATTCTACTTTCTACAGATGATGCAGAACAACATCCAAACTGCCTGCCTTTTCAATCTGTAACTTAATGCAGAAATTATTTTACTGATGAAAATACCTAGAGAAGGAACACACAATGGAAACAGACTAATGTGGATCAGTACAACACTGTACAAAATGACTTTGATACAGCATTTTTTCCTGCCACCTAAAATCAATATCCTGTTTTGTAAATACATGATTATTTGTGTTTTGTTTGCTCATATCTCTAAGTTATGCTTAAGGCTGCTTGCGATAGACTCAAGCAGAAATGTGGACTTTTAACAAAATTGTGAATTTGTCATTCTGCCTTTCTTCATCATCCCATCGTCCCTTGGAATGGCATGAAACCTCCTCTGCAGCACATAGAACCTGGGAAACCCGGGTTCAAATCCCTACTTGTCCATGAAATTCACTGGATGATCTTGGGTCAGTCACAGCCTCTCAGCCTGACCTACCTTACTGGAGTGTTGATGGGAATATACGAGGAGGGAGATATAATGTACAGCACCTTGAATTCTTCGAGGGAAAACCTGGGATAAAATACAATGAATAAATAGAATAAATTCAATGGGAATGGTGTTCATGTGCATGCATGCATGCATGCATACCACAGTTCAGTTGGTGGAGCTGATCAGATTACTCATGTCCACACACTTACCTCTCCATTGTGGTGAGGAGAAGAATCACATTTGGAAAACATATGGTCTGGCAGATCTGTTCAGCAATGGTGTGTTCTGTGGAATGTTAATACATGATTTAACTGAAAGAATAAAAACTTTAAAATATCAAGATCTAATACTTAAAATGTGTTTTGGGTGCAATTACATGTTTAGTGCTGCTTTGCTCTTCCCAATATCACTAGAAGATGCACCCACAAATCTATGCCAAACATCATTTTGCAAATGAAGCATCTTGTTAGAAACCAAAACTCCTGCAATAATGTTCCTGCTCCCCACAAGGGGCCAGCCATGGTGTGAAGAACAGAAAATTCCATCTACAATGAATGGAATGGCAATGAGTTTCCCCACCCCTGTTCAGAGATAATATGTAATGGTGTTGCATTTGGGAGTGTGGTGGGCATTCCAGGGGTGGAGGATGGGTGCACTGGGGTGTGAATATAAAGCTGGAACCTATTTCTTACATTTTCTATTATTTACTTAAAATTCCTCTTCTCCAAGTTCACGTAGCAGAGCTCCCTCGCAGCACATTTTTTAAACAAGCTGTATCTGAAATTATAATTGTATCACGCCAGCATCATATCTGTGCATGGGGAAGGGAGGTTGAAATAACAGCAGCAGCAGCAGCAGCAGCAAGTCTCTTGAACTATCCACCACTACCAGCAATTTTAATGTACAGTGGTACCTCGGGTTAAGAACTTAATTCATTCTGGAGGTCCGTTCTTAAACTGAAACTGTTCTTAACCTGAAGCACCACTTTAGCTAATGGGGCCTCCTGCTGCTGCTGCACCGCCACTGCACGATTTCTGTTCTCATCCTGAAGCAAAGTTCTTAACCCAAGGTACTATTTCTGGGATAGCGGTGTCTGTAGCCTGAAGCGTATGTAACCTGAAGCATATGTAACTCAAGGTACCACTGTATAAAAGAAAGAAAAATCCATCCCCAGTACATTAATGTCTTCGAAACCTTCCTCCAACACCATCTTTAATTGGATTGTACATTCCATCTATCCCCCCTCCATTAGAACTCTACTCTGTGTGCATTTCCGTGTGTGTGTGTGTGTGTGTGTGTGTGTGTGTGCAGGGGACAAAGAGGAAACCAGCAGCAAATCCTGATGCCCCCAACTGCTTTTATCTGCTTCCTGTGCCTCACTGGGGAGGTCTCATGTAAATGCCACCAGGAAGTTGGGAGTGGTTTTAGATGAATGCCCTGAATATAAAACCTTCACTTGCTTCCCAGCCCAGAGTCCCCTCTTTCCTGTATCTCTAACACATTCATTCATCAACATTATGGAGTTCTTGTTGCTCTTGTTTTCCTTGGTGGCTTTTTCTAAAGGTAAGGGAACTTCTGCAATATTAATTTACTTCATGCGGTAATTTGATGATGAACAACCATTCATTGCCATCTTTTCTCTTTCCAAGGGGTCTTCTCAGACATTCAGCTTGTATCATCTGGGCCAGGAATATTGAGACCTGGGGAGAATCTCAACCTGCTTTGTAAAGTCAAAGGTTTCTCCATCTCTACTGAGTCCAATTGGTGGAGTTGGATCCGTTAATCTCCTGGGAAAGGTCTGGAATGGATTGCATGGATATACCCCTATGATGGTGACACAAGATATGCCCCTTCCTTTAAGAGCCGAGCAAGCATTTCTTCAGATGCCTCAAAGAACGAGTTCTCCCTCCAGCTGAACTCCCTGACAGCTGCAGACTCCGCTGTGTATTTCTGTGCCCGAGATGACACAGTGAGACAAAGCCTATTGGGCCCTGTTCAAAAAGTAGAAATCCTAGTGTATTACAAATACACTGTGAAAGTTTTGACAGAGCAATTCTGCATTCCACAGATGATGCGGAACAACATCCAAACTGCCTGCCTCTTCAATCTGTAACTTAATCCAGAAATGATTATACTGATGGAAACCTACAGAAGTAACACACAATAGAAAAAGAAAAATGTGGATCAGTACAACGCTGTACCAAGTGACTTTGCTGCAACATTTTTCCTACCACCTAAAATCAATGTCCAGTTTTGTAAATACATGATTATCTGTGTTTTGTCTGGCCACACCTCTGAGTTATGCTTACGGTTGCTGGGGTACAGCTCAAGAAGGAATGTGGACTTTTTCAGAAATGGTGAATTGGCCACTGTGTATTTCTTCATCATCCCATCATCCCAAGGAATGACATGAAACCACCTCTGCAGCACATAGGACCTGGGAAAGCCGGTTTCAAATCCCTACTTGTCCATGAAGCTCACTAGATAACCTTGAATCAGTCACATCCTCTCAGCCTAAGCTACCTTACTGGAGTGTTGTGAAGAATATATGAGGAGGGGGATATTACGTATAGCACTTTGAATTCTTTGAGGGAAAATCTGGGGTAAAATGCTATGGATAAATCGAATAAATTCCATTGGAATGGTGTTTATGTGCATACATGCATACTACAGTCAAGGCAGCAAGTTTGGCCGAAAACCTTCCTGTGCTGCCATGGAATCCGAAGTCAGATCATGGCACACAGGGGTATGCCAGCCCACAATGGCAGCCCACAATGACACCCACAGCAGAGGGCGAAAACACTTCTCATAGTATCCTCTCTCCCCAATGGAAATTTCAAAGGTCTTTAGTGTAGCCAAAGAACAAGCTGTGGTGTGTGGCTGTTTGTGTGTTGTGCTCATTGCAGAATGTTTGGTGGCCCTTGGTGTAAATGAAGAAAAGAACTGAGTCACATTTAAAAAATAAATATTAGTGGATCTGATCCGGACTCCGAGATCATAATTTGAGGCCTTTTTTTTTCATTTCCCCCCTCCACGTGTTGTCTGGCAGGTGGCAAAATGAGAATGAGCCTTTTCTGCAATGCCTCCCTGTTAGTGGAATGCTCTCCCAAGTGAGGATCGCCTGGAACCATCATTCTACATCTGTATGAACTAGGCCAAAACTTTCCTCTATAACCAGGCCTTTGCCCATTAACTATCCGGGGTCTCCTAGAAGGGGGTGAGGTGTTTTTAATGTATTTCTCTTTCCTCTTGGTTTTAACGTATCTATGAGGGGTAACAGCAGGTAAAATTGTGCATTAGTAAATAAGCATACTATTTGTTATAAAGACCTGCAACCATAAGCTGCCAAAGAGCTATGGTGGGGTTTTTTATGCTGGGGGGTATGCAAATATTCAGAAACTGCTTCCTACTTAAATCAGTTTGGTGCCAACCCTGCCACAGCTACAAAACTCTGAATTCCTGGGACCACTTTTCAATAAACCATCTTAATTCATTCAAGAGGGAAAATGATGGTTTTGCTTCAACTTGTCTTCCTTTCAGCAGCATTTGGAGATAAATCCATCCTTTCAGTTAAAGAAAACTGCTTCATTTTGAGTCCTTCTCCGTGCTTCTTCTTGTCTTGCTGGAACCCCCCCCCCAAAAAAAAACAAACCACAAAACAACAACAACCTGCTCTTTAGTACTCCATTGGAGCAAACTGCAACTTGTAGTTCCTCCAGATTGCAATTTCTTCCTATCTATCACTAAAGAGTGGGTTTTCCCTTGGAAAGGAGTGAGGCAACTGGGAAACCGCTCAGACTTGTGTTTTCTAGGCACAACACTAGCAGAAGTGTGGATTAGCCCTGAGTATCCTACAACATATCCTACAACAGGCCTCCTAAAATGCCTTTATTTCCAGATGCCCAATCAGAAGTTCAGATGATTGAGTCTAGAGGGGACATCAAAAGACCTGGGGATTCCCTCCACCTCTGCTGTCAAATGTCTGGGTTCACCTTCAGGAGCTCCAACATGTACTGGGTGAGACAGGAGCTGGGACCGAGCAACGGGAGCCGACCCGTCACAGGGATTTGAACCACAGAGCTTTCAATTAGCAAGCCCAAGTCTCAGTGGTTTAGACCACAGGGCCACCCGCGTCCCTAAGATATTAAAGAACAACAACAATAATAATAATTAATAATTAAAATAAACAACAATAATAATAAACAATAAACAATAATAATATTAAAGAACAACAACAATAGAGATTGAATTAATTTACATTTAATGTTTCCCCTTGATAAACTTCTTTGACCAATTTCAAAGTAATTTTGAATGAAATGTACCATTCAGGCACATACTTCAAACCCATCCCCTCCCCATTATTTATATATTTGATGGTTTGCATCTTTGAAATCATGGAGCCTGTGTGCATGAGGGGGATACATAAGCCCATCAAGGTTAAGAGCTGTGCAAATTGTGCAATGGCAAAGAAGGAGATTTTCGCTACGTCACCATATGCTTCCAGTCGGACGTTGCCAAATGTCCCTGTTGGTGCTTTTATCCTCGTGGTTATGTAAATTTCAGAGAGTTTCCTCTTTAAAGCAGTCAAACACTCTGCCTACCGCTGCATACCAGGGACCACATTTTGGTCAAATCTCACAAAGCATCTGGCAGGCAAAAATGATAGCTTTGCTTCAGCTTATTTTCTTTTCAGCAGCTTTTGGAGGTAAATTTCTCATACCAGTTATCGAAGTTTGGTTCATTCTGGGTGTTGTTGACATGCAACAACTTCTTAAGATGCCTTTCTTTCTAGGTGTCCAATCAGAGGTCCAGCTGGTGGAGTCTGGAGGAGATGTGAAAAAGCCTGGGGAGTCCCTCCACCTCTCCTGTCAAGCCTCTGGGTTCAACTTTGGGGGCTATGACATGAATTGGGTGAGACAAGTTCCAGGGAAGGGCCTGGAATGGGTGGCCTTCATAAGCACCACTTCAGGTACAATTTACTACTTGGATAAAGTGAAGGGAAGATTCACCATCTCCAGGGACAATTCCAACAGCCTCCTCTATCTGCAAATGAACCGCCTTAAATCGGAAGACACAGCTGTGTATTACTGTGCAAGAGACACAGTGAGAGGAAGTGAATCTGAAGCCAGACAAAAACCCTTCTTTTCTCATGACTGCTCTCAATTACAATCTTGAGGAACAAACACTGCAGCTTATAGTTTAAAGGAATATTTTCATGTGCTATTTTGCACATCAGCATTTACCACCCCATTTTACAATGAGACCCCAAAACACATTCCAGGTCATGGGTTTGCACAGATTCTAGTAGCACTCAGAGGCGCGGGCTATTTTCACGACACTTCATATTGCTTTCCGTTGCAGGACTCGGGTAGACATCGGACCAGGGAAAGGGTGTGATATCTATTGCTTGACACTGTTTTAGAGGGGGGAGCATAGCTCTTCGGAATATAGAAATCTTGAGCCTGACTTCAACACCTTCCTACATAGGGTTTAATTCTGGTTTCTATCACTGTTTTCCATGGGTTATGTAACAATCATGCTCACACTCTACATTTCTCTAAAATATTAGGGCCTTTTTATGTTTAATTGAACATATTGGGTCTAAATCACTGTCCACATGTGTGCACATGCCTCTGTTGAGATTGCATGATTTCTATGTAGTGCATCTATTCCCCCCCCCATAAGCTACTCTTTCATTAACTGTAGGAACAGAAGTACTTCATTACATACACAGGTTGGAATATGGAAACCTTTAGAGCAACACACATTTGTCTCCAAGCACAGAGTTCTGCTTCTCATAAAAGAGTATGTGGGGGTTCTCTTGTGGGCTGGACATTTATCAGGATTCAGAAATGCATGTGTTACAAACATTTCCACCCACACAGGGAGAGTCATTCATCAAAAGAGCTGAGGGCTCTATCTATGCAAGTTAACAGGAATACAAACCTCAGTCACCTGCAAATTCTGTTCCTGTGAGGCTGCTCTTCTTCTCACAATTCTCTGTGTGTCATCAGCTCATGGGGAACAATTCCAAGGGCATGAGCATGTGATATTTTCTTATGTAAATCATGTACATGTGTAAACAGGATTTAATCCAAACAATTTGTGCCTAGTTCTACATTTGGATATACCAATAGAGACTTTTTGCACTGAGAAAGATACTCCCGTTTTGGGGTTTTCTTCGTGACTCAAGTGTCTGCTTCATGTAGGCCAAGGGCCACCAACAACTTATGGGCCCTTTTGGGTATCAGGAAAATCTGTCATGGGCACTATGCACAAACACCACAAGCAACCCATCACACACCACAACCTGTTATATAGACTGAGCTTATATAAAGGCTAATTTCTTGGGGAAGGAGAATCAGGGAAGCTTTCTGCAGATGCATGGGCACCTATGGGCAGCATGTTAGCAACCCTGGATGTAACACATATTTCATATTTCCTCATTCACACATTGCAAAGAACACATTATAAAGGACTCTCATTGCTTAGAGCGCTCTATTACTTGGTTTTAAGGCAGGATAAACTGTATTTTCTACCTTTTCATTTAAATCCTTTACGAGATGGCACTGAACATTTTTCTCTCTATGCTGAGCTCTTATCTACATTTTTATTTAATTTCGAATTTAAACTTTCTGAAAACTCATTTGATATTTCCATTAATGTTAATGAGCCATTCACAGCCATCCTTAATAAGGGCACTGGACATGTTCAAAGCAGAAGCCTGTGTTGCTCTTCTAACCTCATACGGATACATAAATCCACCACTGTAAAGAGCTGTGTGCATTGTATGGTAGCAAAGAAGGATATTTTTGCAAAGAGCAGACACACCTCCATCTCTACATTGCCAAATGTTTCTGCTAGTCCTTTTATCCTAATGGGTATGTAAATCTTCAGAGAAAACTTCCTCTTTAAACCAGTCAGACACCCTCCCTTTGCCTGCATGCTTGGGACAACATTTCACACAGGGAAAATGATAGCTTTGCTTCAACTTGTTTTCTTTTCAGCAGCCTTTGGAGGTAAATCCATCCTTTCTGTTGATGAAAGCTAGTACAATAAGGGTGTTAAAGACATACAGCAGGTCTCTTAAAATGCCTTTCTTTCTAGGTGTCC